TTCTTCTCTTTCTTTCTTTTTCTTTCTCTCTTTCCTTCTTTCTTTCTTTCTTTTTTTAGATTACATATATGAATGATTGTATGATATTTATCTTTCTCTTTCTGGCTTACTTCATTTAGAATGATGATCTCTACTCAGCCATAAAAAAGAATAAAATAATGCCATTTGCAGCAACATGGATGGACCTAGAGATCGTCAATTTAGATTTCCTTTTAATTATGAAAGAGATCTATAAACCAATATCTGGCCTCAAGTATCTGTACCAAATTCTAACATGCCAAAGACCGCCTCCTCATTTGGGGCTGATAGGTTAACTCATTTTGTGCAGACCTTGGAATAAAATTCTTCAGGCATCTCTCTGTGTGTGTCTTTGAACTGCTTTTCCATTTGTCATTGGTTAGGAAGGTGGCAGTTCTCAGGGGCTCTTTTATTTGTGTGTACAAATTGCTTGTGTTCTGGTTTTCAACCTAGACCACTGATGTCAAAATGTAGACCTGACAGTGTTGTGGTAAGGATTCTGCCTCACAGTCCCTGGGCAGGGCTCACGCGTGTCCAGAGGGCTGGGGTGCTCTTGTTGGAGCACGCATTTCTCGGTGGCACAGCCCACCAGGCAGTAACAAGTGAAAGCACAATGTAGCTGTCATACCATGCTTTAGATTCTTTCAAATTCTTTTAAGTTGTAGGGACTTGTTTAATTCTTAAATACAGGATATGCTAACTGTTCTTAGAAACTGTTTGTGATTCAGCTTTGAAACAAAAACTCCCTTCTTTCATTGGATTGATTTCATTGTAGAGTGTTCTGAGATTACACGATTAAGTTTTTTGGTAAACTGGTCCCATTTCCACCCCTAATGTGTCAGTGGGGACGTTCTGTGTACTGTGAACTGAAACAAACTACAGAAGACATTGGATCCTGAATCTGACTAAGCAGGCGATTGGCATCCTTAATCTGTGAATTCTGATTTTTACTGTTTTAATTGGCTCTGAAACAAGTAAATACTGTGCATTTGAACTTAAATTTTTTAAGTAATAAAATACCACTTTCATCTTTTTGATGATATAGAATTCTACTTTAAAACAGGATATATCTAATTTGAAAAAATTTTGCAACCATACTCTAAAAACATTGTAGTGGAAGGTGCCATCCCTCCCCCAGTGAAGCTAGAACAGCCTGGTCTGGTGGAGAAAAGGAGATCTGCAGTTGGCATCACCTAAATCATGTAATGTGGACTTTAGAGGCAGACATGGCTCTTACATCAGATGCAAATATTGGTAGAATTTTCCATCATAAGTACCTGTTTGGTCCATTTCTCTAAGACGGACTTCTGGATTCCAGCAGTTCTCTTGGACCACTCTAAAGACCTTTCCATCCTTTAGCATCTTTGCTTCTCCCTAGGACAGAAAACTCACATCAGTGAAAGATGGCCTAAGCTTACTTAGGTTAATCCTTCCTTGTATGCTTTAGAATGTGGTTCTCCCCTAACCTTTTGAGGGGTTTTTACTTAATCCTCGAAGAACTCAACTTTTAGTCCTCATGCCTTAATATTGGCTTGGATTTGAAGGGGTGTGCTCTGTGGGTGTCAGTGGCTGGACACAAAGAGATCAAGGTCATGGTCATGGCCTTTGGGACTGTACAACTGAGATGACTGGTCACCTTGTCAATCTGAACTGCTTTCTAAGACCTGAGAGGCTGGCCCAGCATCTGGAAAACTCTAGGTTCGTAACATTCTAGAACTGGAAAGGACCTCTGAGATAGACCATCTTGTCCAATCCTCTTGTTTTATAGAGAAGCAACAGTTGGATAGTGAGAGTAAATATTATGTCTAGCAGAGCAGGGCTCATTAATGTCAACACCTGCAGGAGGAGGCAGGCAGTGCAGTGAATCAGTGTAGCAGCACACACAGAATTTGGTGCTGGGCTGCTGACTTCCACCAGGCATCATGCTTGCCTGTGTGCACTACCTTTCAATACTCAGTGCAGGGGGTGCAAACTAAATGGCTGTACAAAGTATGGCAGTGGCCTCTAAATTGAGCCTTCTGTTGCTAATTCCTAGAGAAAAGGAAAAAGTTCTGATCCAGGTACCTGAAACCAGACTGTTCAGGTTCGGATCCTTATTCTATCACTTACTGTGTGGCCATGAGCAAGTTAAGCAACATCTCTGAGCCTTAGTTTGCTCTTTTTTTTTTCCAATTTATAAAACAAATATTTATCTAGCACCTCAGGTGGACAAGATACTTTCTCTGACTGATGTAAAGCTTCAAGGATATATAGTTGAGGAAAAAAAGAGAAGTTCATAAACTGCTACCAAAAAGTTAGGTCAGAAGCATGGAGATTGGAAAGACTGAGAAAAGGAAGAAATTCATGCACAGATTCCCATCCGTGGAGACAAAGGTCAGAATACTTGAGTTGTCTGAGCAGAGGTTCTATAAACCAGGGTTATTATTACCATTATGCTCTTTAGTGATGTTGAATTTGGAACATTTGAATGTCTTCCTTTCTCTGTCACTTAAATTTGAAGTTTCCATGCTGGATGCCTCGGATCTCTTGGAGAATTTGGCAGAACCAGGACAAAGCCTTCTTGTCTTGACTAAACCTATTTGGAGTGACAGGTCAGCTGTTGCTTTAGAGAGGAGAGAAGATTCTTCGTTCTTCTGTCACCCTGTCTTCATTGTAGCCTCTTCAGCTTCATGAGGAGGTATCACTTCCAGCGTATCAGCTAGCATACACGTCCCTTGTAAATTGGACTTGGACTTCTTTGGGCCCAGAGAACAGTACAGGTGGGACAGAAGTCAAGTCACATTCGATGATGGCCACTTCCTTTAAAACATTTTGACAGGTGGCACAGATTAGTTCCGACTCATCCCAGCCAGCTTGGTGCTTTCTTCTGCCTTGCGACATCAAATATCTGTGGAGTCTCAGGCTCTGTCCTGCTTGCCATTCTGTGTAGAAGCTTCTGAGGTTTGTCTCATTTTAAAAATAGGGATAATTAGTATGACTTACTTTAAAAAAATATGACTTACCTTTAAAGAATCTCGTGAGCACAAAATGGGATAAGCTATATAAAGCACTTAGTTCAGTGTCTGACACATGTTTAGTGTTAGTTATTCTTAGTGTTAGTTTTTAATGATGTGTGGCTAATTAGGGACCGGGCTGTCTCCTGACAGTCCCCTGTTTTGAGGGTATACCACTTCTGGTGGTGCTTTGGGGTCTCAAGATTGCCCTTGGGTCCTGTGTGATGACCAAGTGGGCATGTGGTGGTCAAAGGCTTGAGCTTTGCTTGTTGGAGTCCTCTGCCCTCCTCCTCTTCCTCTTAGCTTGATCATGACTTGCACTCAGGCCTTGCCACAGCCTCCTTCTTCATCCTTCTGACCCATGGACAGGACCTTCCCTGTCTCCTTCATGAGGAAGGCCAACCACTTTTCATCTCCAAGTGCGGCAGCCTGTTTATATCTCCCAGGCATGAGGAAGACCTCAGATCCATGTTTTCATTGCTCACAGACTGAGGAACAGGTCAGCAAGCAAGTGACTTGTGTAACTGTGACAGGTGTCTCTCCCCAACAAGAGCTGAGTCTCTGAGCTTAGGATCTCAGGACTGATTTGCCTCAGTTCTGATTCTTTGCTGACCATGACAGCATCTGAACCACCTTCCTGGATTGGGGAATCTCCTGCAAGAGTCTTGGCAGAGGCAGGGCCCAGCCTCCCTCTACTAAAACCCCAATACTTGCTCTCCTTGCCGCAAACTTGGCCCATCAATGCTTGGTTTTGAATCAAAACCAAGTGATGCAGAAAGACAGAAACAGTTGAGTTCATTCTGCCAGTTTTGATTCTGGCTGTGACCATGTGCTCTGTCCATTGGCAGTGGTGCTGGTGGCAGTGTTCTAACCAGGCTGTTCCTGTGGCGTAGCCTTGGCTGTGGCTTCAATCCCCTGGTTTCCCTTTGTTCCTGTACAGTTTATGAGTGTGGTTCCCTTGGCATTTTGTAATTCTCGAGGGGCTTAAAATACTTTCAACAAATCCCTTTTCTGCTTAAACTAACTACTATTGGTTTCTGTGGTTTGCAAGCGAAAGTCCTGACAGATTGCACAAATAAGATATAGGAACAGTCTTTTTATTTGGCAAAGAAGGGAGTAGAGAGGGGTGATGGCAAAAGAGAACAAGTTGAGAAACAGACTTTCATTCGGTAGATTCGAAGTTTTATTTTTCTTTTGCTCCTTAATTAGAAAGCTTAATTACCATAAAACACCCAGTATAGCAGGAGTGCCAAGGAACATGGTCTTTGCATTTCAACAGACCTGGGTTTAAATCGTATTACTTACTAGCAGTATAACTGGCTAAGTTAAAGCCCTCTGAGTTTAAATCTCACTTTTTCTAAGTGTAAAATGTGGGTCATTTTATTTGTCACGCTTGTAGCCACCCAGCATCCTTGGAATACTTCCTCTGTATGAAGACATTTTCACATTATGATTCCCCATTCCTGAGGCGGAATCCAGAATTCACTTACCTAGCCTCCCTCATAGCGAGGGCACTGGCATGTGCTCTAGGCTCTGTCAATCAGAAGCCCCCGGGTGTGACTTGGATTTGGAAGCACAGTGAGGAGGCAGGGACCATGCAGAATCCACTTTTTATCAAGAGTGTTGGCTGAGGTGTCAGTCATAGCTAGAGCAGAAGCTGCAATGCTTTGGTTTTCCAGTCTCAGTACCATCAGCATAAGCTTCTTGTCTGTGACCAGAGCAGTCCCCCAGGTACGATTGGGCATTGTATCTATTAGCACAGCCTCTGAGCTTGATCAACCCTCGCAGAAAGTCTTGAGCTGACTTTCTAGTTAACCTAGCTAGAATGCATTCTGTTGTTTGCAATTGAGAACCCTGAGTGATACAGAAGATTCAACAGTAGAATGTTTGTAGAAAACTTAGTACAGCCTAGAGCGCATGCCCAATGAATTAATGGGCAGATTTTTTTAACCATATATTATTAATGGAAAAGTAGGAAATTAGGTTTCTCTGGGAGGTGCACAAGTAAGTTTGGGTTTCAGACAGAGCAGAATGTGTTAAAGCAGACATGGATCATTTAGTTCAACTCTTGCATTTACCATTGAGTCCGTAAGATACAGTGGTATAGAGCTTAGCTGATATAGAGTACTTAGTTGGTATAGAACTGGGAAAAGAACGCAGGTTTAAGAAGCCGTTTTCTACCCCACCAGGCTGACATTTGGTAATTGGTGTCTATTTAGTTGGGAAGTGTTAATTACCATGATTTCCTAAGGAGTCCAGTCTTTTGTGGAGATTGCCCTCATGACCTTGCAGGAGAGTCAGACTTACTAAACTTCTCTTTCCATGCCCTTTATGCTGAATCGACGTAAGGCAAATGAATGACAGCAACTGTGGACCTCTTTCTGAGTGAAAATTACCACAGAGAAGCTGTGTCCCTATGACAGATTCCCAATTCTCATTGTTTTTCAACCAGAATGTTGACAGTTATTGTAGAGAATCAGTTCTTGATTCCTCTCACATTATTTTTAGGAACCCAGGATCCCTGCAAGTATATAAATGTGCCTCAGAAGTCAGCATTTGCTGCTGGGGGAAGGACTGGGGAGTCTCTTAAGGTTCTGTTTTTAATGTTGACCCCAATATCAACCAAGATCTTAAACTAAACTTATAATCAAGTAACTGGAGTAAGATGCTCTAAGTTATTCAACCCCAAAACAAATTGTTTTCTTCTAAAATCTCAAAAGAAAACCAAGTTGTTTTTTTTTAAGAATTCCCTAACCATTCACGGCCACCCAGATAATTCATTTGAAATATACCTCTAATGTTTTTTAAGTCAAAACAGCATGGTGTAGTGGAAATTATGATCCTGCCGTGGTCAGGGGACCTGGACCCTATGTGTAAACCACTTACCCTCCTAGGGTATCAGGTCCTAATTATAAAATGAGGGCCTCAGTTGTGATAGATAAAGATATAGATATAGATATAGATATAGATATAGATATAGATATAGATATAGATATATAGATACAGATACAGATACAGATATACACACAATGGAGTACTACTTGGCCATAAAAAAGTAAAATAATGCCATTTTCAGCAGTATAGATGGACCTGGAGATCATCATATTAAGTGAAGAAAGCCAGAAAGAAAAAGAAAAGAAAAATACCATATGATATCACTTATATGTAGAATCTAAAACAAACAAACAAAAAAAGAGGACACAAATGAACTTATTTACAAAACAGAGACAGACTCACAGACACAGAAAACAAACTTATGATTACCAGGCGGGAAGGGGAGTGGGGAAGAATAAATTGGGAGCTTGGGATTTGCAGATACTAACTACTGTATATAAAATAGGTAAACAACAAGGTCCTACTATATAGCACAGTGAATTATAT